GTGTGTGTAGGGGGATAGTGTATTCATGTGTGAGAGGTGTCCACAGAGGATTGGATTCTCCTGGAGCTACAGCCACAGGTGTTTATTAGCAGCTTGATAAAGGTGCTGGGAATTCAACTCTGGTTTAGGAGTCTATTCTCTTAACCACTGAGCCATTTCTCCAGCTCCCATCCCAGATTTATTTTTTATTTTTATTTTATTTTTTGGTTTTTCGAGACAGGGTTTCTCTGTATACCTCTGGCTGTCCTGGAACTCACTCTGTATACCAGGTTAGCCTCGAACTCTCGAACTCAGAAATCTGCCTGCCTCTGCCTCCCAAGTGCTGGGATTAAAAGTGTGCGCCACCACCGCCCGGCCCAGATTTATTTTTAAGTGCAAGTAAAATTCATACAACATAAATTTGACATGCTCTGGTTTTGAGTCTCAGTGCTGGGTATGTTCTGTTGTGACATCTCTTTGTGGTGAAGTTTGGGGTGCTGTCCAGTCAGTATCTTTTATGTTTTGATAAATGTTTGCTTGAGAAAGAGGTGGGGCCATCAAGATGGATTAGTGAATACAAGGTAGTTCCTTGGAACCCACATAGTAGAAGGGGATAACAGGCTCTCACAAGTTGCCCTCAGACCCCTACATTCTCATGCACGTGTGTATACATGCAACATACAAAATAAATAAAATGCACTACAAATTTAACAGAAAAGGAGAGTGGGTAGGTGCTCTGGCAGGAGTGAGTCAGCACTGTTCTCACCCAGGTTGAACTGCTGGCCATCTTCTTTCTCACTGTAACCTCAGACAAGTCATTTCCTCTCCCTGTGCTTCCTTATTTGTGAAGGATGATGGTATCAGTCTCAAAAAGCTCCCATTCAAGGGCTAGAGAGATGGCTCTGGGGTTAAATGAGAAACATTATGATATGGGTGGTTCACAACCAGCCATATGTTCAGCTCTGCAGTACCTGAAACCCTGTTCTGGCCTCTGAGTGTCTTTACACTCTACACTGCAGGGGCATATAACCATACACAGATATACACAATTAAAACATTTTTAAAAGCTCATGTTTGACAAGTGTTTCCTGAGTTCCTACCAGATGAGATGGAGGAAGAGATTAAATAAATGTGATTTCTGTCCTCTTGTTACTATCTGGGGAGGGGGACATGTCCTGAATTCAGTGCGACATTATGAATTATGCAACTGAGACAACATATATACATTAGATGAAGGATGACCAATTGAGCAGAAATGCTACTCTTCTCAGGCTGGAAAAATCAGGGAAAAGACTTCCCTGGGGAAGCAACCTTTGCAAACTAAAGCATGAAAAGAAAACAGATGGTACCAGGTAGAAGGAACACTTTGTACAAAGACATAGATAACAGTAGCCCGTGGGGGCAGTGCACACAGGTAATTCCAGGACTTGGAAGACTGGCGCAAGAAAATTGGTGCCACAAGTTTGAAGCCAGCCTGGGCTAAATAGTGGACTCTGTACGTGGGGAGTTGGATTCATGAAGTGGATAGGATAAGGCTGACTCCCTGGCTATAGGGTGCTGCAGTCACTAAAGGCCCAGGCTGAAAGGTTTAAAGCTCTCCTTACTGTGACTGTCCTGAAACTCTCACTTTGAAAAAGGGACATTGCAAGCTGGGTGTGATGGTGCATGCCTTTAATCACTATGGAGGCAGAAGCAGGGAGAGGCTAGCCTGATCTACAAAGAGAGTTCCAGGACAGCCATGGCTACACAGAGAATCCTATCTCAAACTCTGCCCCCACCAAAAAAAAAAAAAAGGGACATTGCATTTATATTTCTTATACCTTATAATCCTATTATGAATAAATCTTATTTTTTCCTTTGAAATTTTATTTTGAGGGCTAGAAATATGTGTCATTGGCAGAGCACTTGCCCCGCACGCACAGGCCCTGGTTTGATCCCTAGTACCACATGGACAGGCCTGGAATCTCAGTTGGGGAGAAGCAAGAAGATCAGAAATTGGAAGTCATCCTTAGCTACGTGGTGTGTGCAAGGCCAGCTTGGGCTACATGAGTCCTGTCCAATAAAACAACGTTCCCTCCCATGTATATTTCTACTTATTTTGTTTGCCATATCATTACATACTGGCTCTATTCCCAGATCTCTGTTTTTTCCTCCTCTTTTTCTGGGAGCGAAACTCTCCACCACACACAGACTGTGAAAGTGGTCTACCACCAAGCCATATCTCTGGCCCCAAATAATTTTTTCTTCATTTTATTTACCTTTTAAAAATGTATTTATTCTTAGGTGTAACAGGTGTTTTGTTTGTTTGTTTTTTCTCTGCATGTATGTAAGAGTACCATGTGTGTGCCTGATGCCCATGGAGGTCAAAAGAAGACACTAAATCCCCTGAGACCAGAGATAAAGACAAATCTAAAACACTATGGGGGTGCTGAGAACTGAACCCAGATTCTCTGAAAGAGCAGTAACTATTCTTTTTTTTTTAAAAATATTTATTTTATGTATGTGAGTACACTGTCGATGTCTTCAGGCACACCAGAAGAGGGTGTCAGATCCTATTACAGATGCTCATGGTTGTGAGCCACCATGTGGTTGCTGGGAATTGAACTCAGGACCGCTGGAAGAGCAGTCAGTGCTCTTAACCGCTGAGCAATCTCTTCAGCCCCAAGCAGTAAGTATTCTTAACAACTGAGCCATAGCTCTAGGTCAATATATACATATATATGTACACACACACATACACACGTGTGCACTCCCACGCGTGCGCGCACACACACACACACACACACACACACACACACGATAGAATCTTATGTATTTCAGCCTGGTCTTGGGCTTGCTATATTTATTGCAGGTCATCTTTAGCTACATTGTGTGTTCAAGGCTGTCTCAGGCTACAGGAGGATGACTATGAACTCCCGATTCCTTTGCTTTCTGCCCCTGAGCCTGAAATGAGAGGTATGCATCATCATGCGTCATTTATCCAGTGTGAGAGAGGGAGCCCAGGCCTTTGTATGCACTAGGTAAGCACTCTATTGCTATACACTCAGCTTTATTTTAAGTAATTAAATAATTAATTAGAATTAGTTAATCAATTAATTATGTTTTTTTGAGATGGGGTTTCTCTGTGTATCCCAGCTATGTAAATCAGGTTGACCTCAAACTCTACCTGCCTTTGCTTCTCAAGTGCTGGTATTAAAGGCATGTGTGTGTAAATTAATTAATTGATTCAAATTTGAGATAGGGTCACATTATATAGATATAGCTGGACTGGAACTTGTTTGGTAGAGCAGATTGTTCTCAAATTCACAGAGAAATGCCTACCTCTGACTCCCCAAAACTGAAATAAAAGGTATAGGCTACCTCACTCAGCCATATTTTACTAAAATGATAAATTACACTTGTATATATTTACTGGGTACAATATAATGTTATGGAATATTCCTACAATGGAGAATGACTAATCAAACTGAGAGGCTTTTCATTTGTAGTGCCAGAGGTGGACCCCAAGCCTCAAATATGCAAGGCCAGCATTCACCTCTGAACCCCTGGTTGGGGGGAGGTCATCCACAGAGGTCAGAGGAGGTGTTATCAAGTGTTCTGCACTGTCACTCTCTGCCTTATTCTTTGGAGACAGTATCTTTCATCAGATTTCATCAGATTTGGAGTTTGCATGGCAGCCATGAAACCTCAGCAATCCTCCTGTGCCCACCCTTCATGGTGCCAGGGTTACAGGAGCATTTGGCAGCACCCAGTTTTTTACATGAGAAGTGGGGATTTGAACTCAGATCCTCATGCTTATCTCCTAAAGTATCTCCAGAGTTCTTCAGTTTTATTAGTTTGCTGCATACTGGGCCACTTCCAACATTTCCCCTTTTCACTTTCTCTTTTCCTTTCTTTTTATAGTGCTGGAGATGAAACCCAGGGCCCCCAGTATGATAATACTGGGCAAGTGCTGTCACTGAGCTACAGCTTCAGGCTATAATTTTAATGTACCTTTTTTTTTTTTTTTTTAAGGAAATGGGGTCTAATCTGGTTGTTATGTGACAAACAATCCTGATGTGCCATTGAGCTATCACTTTCTGAGAGTGGCCCTCTCTCAGAGACCCAGGCTCGCTGCTTCCTAGGCTCAGGGATGACAGTGAAGGTTCTTATGCTGTCTGCCTGTAACTGAGTTCTGCATGTCTGCAGTGGGAACTTGATTGCTTTCCCTGGCTGTTTTTCCTCCAGGCTTTGCCTTTTTACCCCCCCCCCCCATAGTGAAGTTCTAGGGTTGCCTCCAAATCACCATTTTGTACTGAAGTTCATTTATTTGCTTTTGTTTTCTTGATTCTGTAGCACAGATTAGCTTCTAGCTTTGCTGAAAAACAAAATACGATCTTCCATTTTTAATACAAAAGCCCCTTAGACAGGCTTAGGTGTCAGGTAAGTAGATGGCATTGGCATCTCTGCCCTAACACCTTGTGCCCTCTTGTCTGGTCTTTTGGCTAAACTTCTTTTCAAACCAAAGGTTATCTGTCTCAGGATGGGAGGATACAGGTAGCTTGCTGCATCATGACCAAGAGCATACATTGAAAAAAGGGGGGAAGGGATGGATGATGAAACTCAGGCAACATGCAGCAAGGAGGGGAAAGGGATTTTGATTAGGACCATTTAAAAAAAGGACAGTTTTTCTCCCAAAGGGGCATCGTTACCAGTTTTGTTGGCATTTCACCCTATAAGGTCGTAAAATAAGCTGCCTCCATTTTTGTCATCCTGACTCTTTAGTACTCATTGTTAGGAGGTGTCAGTCCCTAATACCCACAGCTTCCAAGAAATTCTCCTTCCTCTGTCTTCCAGTTGCTGCAATTACAAATATGAGCTCCTGGACCCAGTTTCAGTTATTTTGTAGTGCTGGAGTAGGGATCAAGAGCTGATGGGTAGTGGTGACACACGTCTTTAATCCCAGCACTAAGGAGGCAGAGGCAGGCAGACCTCTGTGAATTTGAGGCCAGCATGGTCTACAGAGTGAGTTCCAGGATAGCCAAGGCTACACAGAGAAACACTGTCATAAAAAAATGAAAATACAAAACACAATCAAAAGCTTCTTGTTTGTCAACTAGGTGCTTTCCCATGGAGCCACACGCACTTTGCTTGCATTTTGGTCTCTGAGAAAGATGATGCTCATAGAGATATTTCCTTTCAGTGGTCCCTTTATTGGAGGGCTATGGTTGCTCAAAGGATCATTAGGTATAGTGCCTTCTGGACCTTTAAGGGTCTCTCAAAGGAGTTCTTAGTTTTCAACCTAGAAGAAATAAGAGAATATATAAAACTTAGGGTGTGTGTATGACTGGGTCTGCCCTCCTTGCTATGGAATCTTGGAGATAGGACAGGATGGGGGCCCAAAGTGAAGGAGTGGATACCAAGCTGACTATAGCAGTGTGTGTGGGGAAACTATTATATAATCCCAGCACTTGGGAGTCTGAGGCCAAATGATTTGGGGAGTTCAAGGGTAATCTTAGGGAAGCTGTGGTGGCTCATGCCTTTAGCTTTTAATCCAGCATTCTGGAGGCAGATGCAGGTAGAACTATGTGAGTTGAAGTCTGCATAGTGGAGACCCTATCTCAAAGAAAGCTAACCCAGGTTACATAACAAGTACAAACCCCTATTAAAACGAATCAAAACAAGCCAAACTCAAACCTGTCTACAGGTAAAGGATAGGCAGATAAATAGCTCAATGAAAACAGGAGGGCAGCATATAGGTAAGTAGAGGCTGGAGAATCCGAAGTTAAAGATCACCCCTCACTGGGCTATGAAAACCTTTGTCTCAAAATCAAAACAGAGGCTGGGGAAATGGCTCTGTCAGCAAAGTGCTTGCCTTGCAAATGTGAGGACCTGAATTTGATCCCCAGAACCCACGTAAAGTTGCTGGGCCAAGTGGCATCTATTAGTCCCAGTGCTAGGACTGTGGATCTGAAGACAAGAAGACCCCTTGGGCTACTAGCCAGCGAACCTAGCCTATTTGGTGAACTTTAGTTTGATGAGAAACCATGTCTCAAAGGAGGTAGATAGATGGCTTTCCTGAGGATAACACAGGAAGTTGTCTTTAATACCACAGACACAAACATACATGCAGATGCACGCACACACTAAAAAGAAGAAGAAAGAAGGAAGTAGCAGTTGGATGTGATATACTTCAAGAACCTGAAATCTCAGCACTCAAGGCGGAGACAGGAGGGTGGTGGGGGTAGAGGCCAGCCTGAGCCTCACAGTGAGTTCAAGGCTAGCCTGGGTTAGACTTTGTTTTACAAACGAAACAGGCTCAGGTAATGCGACTGTGTGGTTAGGTAGTGGTAGAAATCTGAGGCTGGGCGCGACTTTTAGGCTGGTCTAGATTGCTCTAGTGTAAGGATTCTCAGGAGCCAGGGAGTCAGAGGCTATCAGGAATCCATGGAGTTGAGGTGAGCAGAGGAGAGCAACACAGGAGTAGGAACTGGACTGAGGTTTGGCCAACAGAATAATCTGGAGTGAAGGGTCACAGGTCAGGTTAGGGTTGTATGAAAAGAAGCCCTTAGGAGAGAAGGCTGAAGTGGGTTCTAGGCTGAGTGTCCTGGGATAAGGTACGTAAGCAGAAGGGCTTTAGCATAAATGGGTAAAAGTGTGATGCTTGGTAGTAGAGCTCTAAGACGAATTGCTCTTCAGATGAGAGCTTTGATCAGGCCACAATCATGATGGGGCCCTGAAGAGAGAGAAACTACAGTTCCAGAACACCCCAGGAGTTCCTGGCTGCAGCTCTAAGGAGGTTGAAAGGCAACAGTGGTTTGAGGGAGAAAGCTGGGCATCAGAAGTCTGTAATCTAACAAGTAAAGAAGGCCAGACTGAGGTCAGAGGCAAGCAAAGATGTTAGGAGTTAGGCAAGAGATGAGCTGGCTGGGGCAGGGCCAGGGCTGAAGTTGTGTCGCGGAATAGACAGGACAAATGATGCCATGGAGAGAGACTGAAGGCTGCGCCTGAGTCATGTTTCAAAGGTGCAGGGGGCTAAGCTCAGGCACAGGGACAAGCAGACTCACCACAGTGAAGTGAGGCCAGGTGCCGAGCAAGTTGAAGAGCGCGTTCCCGGGGCAGTCGGTGTGCACTAGCTGGCGGTGGCCGAGCAACTTGTAATCTGGCTTCAAGAGACCTGCGCGAATTGCACAGCTCGGGAGCACATCACGCGCCGTGTTCAGCGCAGCTTCGCTAGGCAGTGACCCAGTGTAGTTGCCCACGAAAGCCACACCGAAGCCGCGGGAGTTGTAACCGCGTGTGTGCGCACCTACCCAGTGCCAGCCACGGCCCTGGTACACATAGCCGTCGGAGCCTATCACGAAACTGCAGAGGGGATGTGATATTTAGGATCAGCAGGGCTCTGTCCTTGTGCTTTACGACATCAAGTGCAGCACACTGCTTCTCTTTCATCCAATTCAATATCATTTGAACACCAAGTGCAAGCCCAGAAACCATTCTTTTTTGCAAAATAGTGCAGAATACCCTAATCATAGCATTCAGAGAAAGAATCAGGCAGAATTCTCTGAGTTCGAGACTAACTTGTTCCACATAGGGGACTCTAGGTCAGCTGAGACGATGTTTCACTAGAGGAATGAGAAGGAGGAGGAGGAGGAGGAGGAGGAGGAGGAGGAGGAGGAGGAGGAGGAGGAGGAGGAGGAGGAGGGAAGCGGCGGTGGCTGTAGTGATCTAAACCTTTAATCCTAGTTAGAGGCTAAGCTGGTCTACAGAGTTCCAGGACAACTAGGGCTACACAGAGAAAAAAAAAAAAAAAAAAAAAAAAAAACCCCGGTCTCGAAACGAACCAAACCAAACCAAACCAAACCAAACCAAACCAAACCAAACCAAGTTTCTCCTTTTTGAATCTACCCCTAAGAATCAGTCACACCCCTATTCACTCTTTTTTTCACTCTTCTCTTCCTTTCCCTTGTGGGATTCATAGCCCCATCCCAATCTTGGGCCTGGTCCCTCATTTTGACCACAGTCTGGTTCTTGGCCATGCCCACTACAAATTCCTTCAACTACTTGCGGGTTTCTCCCCACTCGTTCTACTCCTTGCCTTCCAGTCCCTCCCACAGTGGACTAGGCCAGATCCACCTGTAGCCGATGTCATTCCAGTGGCGCACGTCCTGGTGGAAATGCTGCATGGAGCGCATATTGGCCGCGCAGCTCTGGAAGGTGGTGCAGGGTGGCGCTGGCACGTATGTGTGATGCACATATAAGAATCCAAGTGGCAGCCGGAGTGGCGTTGGGTGGCCTCGGTAGGGAGCCGCTCCCCAGCGGCAGCGGGGGTGAATGGCTGGGCATCCTTCAAGAGCAAGGGAGCATCAGAGTTTATTATCAAACATTTCCTTCTGGAAGAGTGATCTTTATTAAAATGAATCTGTGGGCATCCCTCTGGCCTCCAGGATTTGACAAGCGTCTAGTTTTAGGTCAGGGAGATGGCTCAGAAGGCATACACAGGATAGATAGATAGATAGATAGATAGATAGATAGATGATAGGTAGGTAAGTAGGTAGATAGCTAGATAGATGGAAACCACTATATGTCCTTCCACTTCCAGGAGAAAACCCAAAAGTGTGAGTATGGTAGTACATTCCTGTTAATCTCAGGATTTGAGAGATTAAGGAAGGGGGCTTTCAAATTCAAGACCAGCCTGGGCTACATATAAAACCTTGTCTCAATAAATAGGTTAAAAAAAATTAACCCTCCTGTGTTGACTTCCAATTGTATGATTCGTCTTGTATGTGAGGCGTGAGGGGTAGAGTCAAGGTCTCATGAAGCCCAGGCTGCCCTTGAACTTCTGATTCTCTAGCCTCTGCCTCTCAGGAGCTAGGATTACCAGCATGCACCACTGTGTACAGTTTACTGTGGTGGTAGGGTATTTCTTATGCATGCACTCTACTAACAGAACTATACCCCAACCTCTCTTTAAAAAAAGTTAAAAATCATATAAACTCTTATCTATTCTCTAAGGACCAACACTAGTATTTCTTTGCCCACGAAGTTGTCCTTTTCTGTAGACTCTGCTGTCCCCCTGGATTTCCTAGGCCCTGGATCTTGCTGATCCAGGGGGATCACAGTGGGCTGGAAGTGTCTGTGTATGGGGGACCAGGGGGAACTCCTTACCCAAGAAAGCTTCAGTGAACTCTTTGGTAGCAAAGGTGGCTGCCTGAGCCAGCTGTTCTTGGCTCATGCTCTGCAACTGCAGATGTCCTGGCTCCAGTTTCTGTAGCAGGACAAGGGCCTCCCATAACTTCTGGGCCAGGGTAGGGGATGAAGTCAAAGCAGCCCCATTCTGCCTTCGGAAGTTACTTCGGAACTCTGGATCTCCATTCACCCCAGCTCCATAGTACTCTCTCAGCAGGTGGCTGAGGGGTGGGTGGGGCCTAGGGATTCGGCTCAAGTGGTCCCCAAGGAGAGCTCCATCCAAGGCACCATTGAGGAAAGCCATGGTAAGCCTGGATGCCTTGGGGTCCAACAGTGTGAAGACCCTGGGAGCAGAAAGCTGGTCCCAGCAGCCCTCAGTTCCTAGGCCTGGAGGACTCCTAATCTGGGACCCATGGAGGAAAGTCAGACCTAAGTCACCAGCCAAGGTTATTGCCAGGAGTCTGTCCACAGTGGTGGGAGTCTTGGCTTTGTCATTTGGTAAAGTGGCTCCAACATCTGGAGAAGAGGCATTTGTAAAGGTATCCATGAGTCCTGGCCAGGTGGCTCCAATATTAGTCAAGGTGTCTCCAGTATCACAGGGGATGGTCAGGCAATCTGAAGACAACTTAGCAACACCATACCCCTGTAGACCAGCCTCTAGCCCAACCAGTAGAGGCTTCACCGCTACAGTGGAGCCATCAGGTGCTAGCACCACTCCATATTCCTGCCCATCCTGTACATCATGCTGGGCCACCTCAGAAATCAGGGCTTGAAGCTCAGGGCTGAGTGAGTGAAGATCTGGCTCTGTAGTGTTGTGGCTTGGTGCCTTCAGCAGCAAGTGCTGGGGAAGGGAATTGTGGGGGCTGGAGTTCTTGGCTGACAGAATCCTTGCAGAGGCAGTAACATTGGCCCCAGTCACCAGTATATTTTGCTCAAGTTCAGCAAGGGCCTGAATGATGGAGTCCATGACCAGGGGCAAGGAGGAGGCTGCAGGAAGAAAGAATGAGTCAGCCCAACAACTCAGCTTCCTTTTGTTTTGGTACATTCCTCTCTGCTCGTGTCACATTTTCCTAGTGTTCCTAGCTCTTCATCTGATATCACTGTGACCAGCACTACCATTGTATAGAGGAAGAAACTGAGGCACCCAGACTGTTGCCTGTTGGTTAAGGAGGTAGGACTGCCTGAGCACTGGGGAGCCATGGCAAGACTATGAACAGGAGAGAGGCCTGAGCAAGTTAGCATTTGTAGTGGTTTAAATAAAAATATCCTCCATTGAACCATTGGTCATTAGGGAGTGGTGCTACTTGCGAGGGAATAGGAGGTATATCCTTGTTGGAGTAGGTGTGGCCTTGTAGGAGGATGTATGTCACTGGGAGTGGGCTTTAGGGTTTCAGAAGCCCAAGCCAGGCCCAGTGGCTCTCTCTCTCTCTTCTTGCTGCCTATGGATCAAGATGTAGAACTCTCAGCTCCTCCAGTACCATGTCTGCATAGCATGCTTCCCACCATGCTAAAAATGGACTAAACCTCTGAACCTGTAAACCAGCCCTAATGAAATGCTTTCCTTGATAAAAGTTGCTATGGTCATGCCTGTAATCCTCTCATTTAAAAATGCAGGAGGATTGCCACAAGTTCAAGACTAGCCTGAACTGCATAGTTCCCTGACATCCAGGCTACAAAATGTGATCTTGTCTCAGACAAACAAACAAACAGATGCACAGACAAATAAATAAACAAAAAGGAGGAGAAGAATAGGTTTTTCCCTCTTTAAGAAAGGGAATCCAAGCCAGGCATACTGGTACATGTCTTTACTGCAGCAGAGGCAGGCTGATCTATAGTTTGAGTCCAGCCTGGTCTATAGATCAAGTTCTGGGACAGCCAGAGTTATAGTAAGACTTTGTTTTGAAAAAAGAACAAACGAAAGAGAGACAGAGAGAGAGAGAGAGAGAGAGACAGACAGACAGACAGACAAGTGGAAGCTAGAAATGTTTGGTTACCAGGTCCATAGCAGAGTTAGGGGTTGTTGGATAATTCCAATGTTTACTTAACTATTTACCATGTGTCAGGCATCATTCTAAGTGACATATTTAACCTATTTAATCCTCACAAAACATTATAAGTTATGCCTCATTAGTTTTCTGTTACAGATGAAGCATCTGAAATGGAAATGTCATGTTAGCTGCTTCAGGTTACCCAGCTAGAAAGTGGAAGAGATATGATTTGAATCTAGGACGGTAGGTTGTTTTGTTTGTTCCAGGGGCTTGCTATATATTGGAGGCTGGCCTGTAACTCATTATATAGTCCAGGCTGACCTCAAACTCATGACCCTCTTGTTTCAGCTCCTATGTTCTGGAAATACAGACAAGTGTTTGCATACCCAGAGCCTCAAGATCATTTTAATCCTAGTGTCTGGAATTGATGTTCTTCCGTGGGCTATATATTCTGTAACTTTTCTCTTTTCTGTCTAAAATATCTTTTCTCTTCTGCTTTTCAACAAAACCCAGCTCTCCTTCCTCCCATCCCGGTTCTATGTATCTCTTCTCCAGGAAACTACCCTTAACTTTTGCTTTCAGGTCCCCAGGTCTTTCTGGCATCCCTTCCTTGACTTAGGCTGGGAGCATGTAAGGTGCCAGAATGACAGTTTGCTGAGAACTGGAGCCTTGCCCACTAGGGTTGAACAAAGCAAGTACCACTTCCCCTCAGGCCTCTGCCCTTGGACTTACCTGTCCCTGGCTCTGACCACAGCAGCAATCCAAGCACTATCCAGAGGACACCCTGGGCCTTCATTGTGGGGCTCCAGTTCCAGGACACAGACCCAGCAGAGAACCTCTGAGGCCTTAGGAGGACAGGGGCTTGAGAATTAACCTGCTGTACCAAAGCACAGCAGTTTAGCAGTCACCCCAGCGGAGGTAAGAGAGTGTGGGAGTAGAGAGCCAGGGTCAAGGTTATCTGGTCTCAAAGTCTCCTCCATCCTGTCCTGTCCCCGCCCAGAGTGACGTGATGGGTCAGCAAGACAGGTCCATGCCAAAAGAAGCCTGTAGACTGGGAAATTCAAACTCTAGAAAATTTAAAAAATATAATCAATTGTTATTATTCTGCAGTATTGGAGATTAAAGCTAGGGTGTAATGCAAGTGTGGCTAGCACTGTACCTTTGAGCTGTATCTCCACCCTCTCCTTTTACATTTTATCTTAATTTATTTGTTCTAAAATATGTTTTAAAAGACGTTAGTGAGTTCAAGGCCAGCCAGGTCTACAACCTGCTTTTTATACTTTATCTTATTTTATTTGTTGTAAATATGTTTTAAAAGTCTTTAGTGAGTTCCAGGGTAGCCAGGGCTATGTAGAGAGAGCCTGTTTCAAGCAAAACAAAACAACAGACAAACAAACAACAAAAAAGACACCCCCTCCCAAAACCAAAAACTGAAAAATACCCACTCCTGTGTTTAAATCAAGTAGTGGTGGCCCATGACTTTAATCCCAGCACTCAGGAGTCAGAGACAGGTGGATTGCTGAGTCCGAGGCCAGCATGGTCTATAGATTGAGTAGAGTGAGTTCCAGGACAGCTAGGGCCACACAGAGAAATCCTGTCTTGAAAAAAAAGTGTATGTATGTGTGTGTATATATATATATATA